CTCAATCTTGAGGATTTATGAGCTCCCCAAGTTTCAAGCTGCTTTCTTTAGCTAATGCAGCAGTCAGCGCAGGAGTTCCGGGATTTCTGCTTAATATGCCAGGTATAAGAACATAAGAGACGCCAATGTTGGATCAGGCCAAAGGCCCATCCAGTCCAACACTCTGTGTCACACAGTGGCCAGAAATACCAGGTGCCATCAAGAGGTCCACCAGGGGGGCCAGGACATGAGAAGCCCTCCCACTGTTGACCCCCCCAAGCACCAAGATGACAGAGCACAGCTTGCCCCAGCCTGAGAGTTCCTATCTTTACCTTGTGGCTAGTAGCCACTGGTGGACCTCTGCTCCATATGCTTATCTAATTCCCTTTTGAAGCCGTCCATGCTTGTAGCCGCCACCACTTCCTGTGGCAGTGAATTCCAAGTGTTAATCCCTCTTTGGGTGAAGAAGGACTTCCTTTTATCCGTTCTAACCCGACCGCTCAGCAATTTCATGGAGTGCCCACCAGTTCTTGCATTGTGAGAAAGGGAGAAAAGTACCTCTTTCTCTACCTGCTCTCTACCTGCTCTATCTACATGATGCGCGTGGAACAGGTAGCGATGCTGCTGCTATGCACCTCTGCTCTCCCCAGAAATGCTTTTTTGGGGGAACTCCCTGCTGCCATTGAAAAACGGCTCAGCCTTGCGCGTCCCCCGGTCCCGCCGGCCTCCGGGGGCGGGGCGGGGGCTTCCGAAATGCCCTCCTGGCGCCCCGAGGCGGTGCCCCTGCGTGGCTCTCTGGGCGGGCAGAAGGCGCCTCCCTTTCGCCGAGCCTCTTCCGGGGCTGGACGGGGAGGGAAAGGAGAGGAGCTTCTCCTGGAATCGAGCCGCAGGGCCGCCAGAGGGGCTCTGGCAGGCCCCGCGTTACGGGGCTCCAGAGGGTTCCTCAGCTGGCGGGACGATGCCGGGAACATCTGGCTCCGCGGGGCGGCTCTGGGGTGTGCAGACGAGTCTGGGCGTCGGGGGCGCCTCTGTTCCCCGTCGAAGGGCTATTTCCCCGCGGGGTGACTCGGGACCTGCTCCCGGGGACCTGCTGTTGTTGACCGGCCGCTCCCCCCCTTGCAGAACAAAGTTGGAGTGGAGTCCAGTCCAGTGGCGGCTTTACGACCAACAAAGGTTTATTCGCGGTATGAGCTTTCGTGTGCACGCCCACTTCCTCAGATACATTGAAGTGGAAGTTAACGGTTCATATATATAAGGCAGATGCCTCTACATAGATGAACAACAAATGAGCACACAGTTTAATGAAGATGTTTTGACATATGCAAAGACAAAACACCAATAACAAGCTAAGCTCATAGGGTCACCGTTTGTTTGGACTTAATTAGGGGCGGAAACAGTGAAGCAATAAATATGTCAAAATAAGAGTAAGGGTAAAGGTTTCCCTTGCTCAAAAGCCAGTTGAATCCGACTTTAGGGGATGGTGCTCATCTCAGTTTCCAAGCCGAAGAGCCAGCACTGTCCGAAGACTTTTTCCGTGATCATGTGGTCGGCATGACTAAACACTGACGCGCACGCAACTCTGATCCACCGTGGCCCTGCCAGAATAGGAGGCAGATGTGTAAAAGCATCCTTCTTAATTGTTAAGTCACTGGGACTTTCCCATTTGCTCCTGAAAGCGCAACGTGCACCGATGATGCTCTCTAAGACTGTTGGGCCAAGGAGAATGGGGCCAGCTGCTGGGGAGGCAGTAATGGCCCCCTTCCTGCAGCCTGTGTGTGCGTGTGTATGCAGGTGTGCCCTTTGCATCTTTGGCCAGAATCTCTCTGAAATGCTGCCGTCCACTCAGATCTTGTGAGACTGTTTTAGCAAAATAAAACAATAGTCCAGTGGCACCATTTATTTCAATACTGGCTCATAAAGGCTCATGCTGAAATCAAGGTTGTTCATCTTTAAGGTGTCACCAGACATCTGTTTTATTTCCCTCCTGCCAGTTTGCATCTGTGAGAAGATCTGCCTGCACAAAAGCCTAAGTGTTTGTGTGTGTGTGTTTAAAAGAGAGCCAGTTAGGTGTAGTGGTTAAGTGCGCGGACTCTAATCTGGGAGAACCGGGTTTGATTCCCCACTCCTCCACTTGCACCTGGCTGGATGACCTTGGGCAAGCCGTAGTTCTGATATGAGCTGTCCTTGAAAAAGAGCAGTTTCTGTCAAGAGCTCTCTTAGCCCCACCTACCTCACAGGGTGTCTGTTGTGGGGAGGGGAAGGGAAAGGAGTTTGTAAGCCGCTCTGAGACACCTTTGGGTAGTGAAGGGCGGGGTATAAATCCAATCTCTTCTTCTTTTTCTTCTTCTTTAAAAAGATTGCAGATTTCCCCCAGTTCTCCAGGACTGCAATGGTGCCACACAGGCTTCTAGCATTAGGTTGCAGGTAGTCACTGTGTGAATAATCACAGTGAGGCAAACCGGCTCAGCCGCTTTTAATACCTGCCTAACTAATCAAGGCACACACTTTTTGCAGAAGCCAGATTTTAAAATCTGATATGTCCCCTCCTCTGTAAGAATGGTTTCTGTGAACAAGTGTGATAAAGAGGTAGGCGCCCCCCCCCCCCCCATTCCTGGCTGTTGAGAAATCTTTCTCTTAATACACTTTTAAGAAGTCAGCATGAGATTCATAGATTTGAAGTGAATTCAGTTGGAGATGACTACAGAGGCTGAACTTTCCCCTGTGTGCAATTGCCAGCATTGTTACTAGCCTGGGTACAAAAAAAGGATAAAGTCCAAAACACACTGCAAGCAAGCGATGCATGAGAGCATTCTGGGAGAGTGTGCAAACATATGTGGCTGAAAGGTCATGGGATTCCTTTGAAGGCCTTCTGAAGCCATTTCTGGGTAGCAGCTTCTGAATCAACCTTGAGTAGGATAGACAAGGTATTGCAGAGTGATTGCAGTACAATCCTGTACAGATCCAGGTGGGCAGCCGTGTTAGTCTTAAGCAACAGAACAAAGTTTGAGTCCAGTGGGGCACCTTTAAGATGAACACAGTTTAATTCTGGGCATAAGCTTTCATGTGCATGCACATTTCTTTGGAAGAAGACTGAAGAAGGGTGCTTGCACACGAAAGCTTATAGCCAGATTTAAACTTTGTTGGTCTTAAAGGTGCCGCTGGACTCAAACGTTATCCTGTACAGCGTCATTCCAGTCTAAGCCCATTGATTTCAGAGTTACTGGAATAACTCTGCAGAGGGTTACATTGTTTGCTGCTTGCTTTGGGGAAAGCCTGACTTAATGCTGGGGGGAATAAAAGCTAGTGGTTGGTTATGCCACTGAAGCAAGGACAGTTTAGAGGGGACAGGAAAAGCCCCCCCTGCAGGAAGGAGGGATATCCTGCCGGGTCAGCCGGGTAAGGTGAGGCTGGGACTGGCCTGTCTGTTGCTGGGCGGGGCTGAGGCTGGGATATTGTGCCGGATATTCTCTTTGGGCCTGGATGGGACTCTTCTTGATGGCCCTAATGGCCAATCCACCTCTGCATTTAAAATTTAGTTGTAAAAACCACACTGATCCAAACTACAGAAAACATTCAGTCTTAACCATAAGTGGTTGCCTAAGGCAATGGATTTGCGGTGCCATAAGAGAGCCAGTTTGAAGAAGAGAAGAGATTGGATTTATACCTTGCCCTTCACTACCTGAAGGGGTCTCAGAGTAGCTTACAATCTCTTTTCCCTTCTCCTCTCCACCGCAGAAACCCTGTGAGGTAGGTAAGGAGGAGAGAGCTCTTAGAACAGCTCTGAAACAGCTGCATGTGGAGGAGTGGGGAATCAAACTCAGTTCTCCCAGATTAGAGTCCACACTCCTAACCACTACACTACAAACGGTGTAGTGGTTAAGAGCGATGGACTCTAAGCTGGAGAAGCTGGTTCGATTCCCGAGCTAGCCGGGTGACCTTAGCCAAGTCATAGCACTTTCAGCCTAAAAATAAGCATAGCTCGCCACCTAGTGGCGTAAAAAAGAGCTACAGCTTCAGCAGCCAAATAATCCCCTCCCTCCTCAGGGATCTCCTGTTTATTCCACACAACACAATATGATAATTTTGATTTCGCGGTGCCACTACTGGTAGTAAAATCCAACACCTGAATTTATATAATACTTTTTTATTGGGACCAACCAGAATGGTTTTACACATTGTGCAAGCTTTTGATTTGTCCAGAAGTCTTCATTAGGCCAGATGTTAAAGCAAAACAAAAGGGGGTAATGGAGAGAGAAACACAACTCTCAGGATCTGGTGTTCCTGCCTCTTGCCCTGCTGATGATGCTCAGCAGACTTCAGTGGGCACAGGGTGTGGCTAGCGGGTATCAGGTTACACTTTGGCATTCTCTGAAGAAGAAGCAAAAATGGAAGACCTCCAGTTGAAAGTATAACAAACATTACTTATCAAGTGTCATCTCAGAAGGTTGTAGAACACTGGAATTTACTACTGACTGAGTAGACATGAATAGGGCTCTCTCTTTTTTTTACAGTGACATTTTTATTGGAAAATGTGGTTTGGTAAAAGAAAAACGGTAGGGCTCGTTTTTAAAGGAGACATGCAACATCACATTGTCTGCGCACAGAACTGTTATTGCTGAGTGCAGCAAAAACATGTTTCTGGCTGCTGAGTCACACAAAATGTGCACCTACCAGACAGCTGGGATTGCCTGGGGCTTCCTGGCACATCCGCACATAATGGAGAACTCTTCTGGGCTGTCAGAGTTAACAACACAGGTTTTCTGGACTGTCAAAGGGCAGGTTTACACAAGGCTCAAAAGCAATAAAAGCCTCACGTCTAACAGTGCCGGACTGTGCATAACACATTTTGTATGCTTAAATTTGTTTTGCATGTGTTTTAATTTCTGCCACCATTCTGTTTTTGTTTTAAACACAGATGCACACCTTCCCTTCCTCCCCCGCCTTCGAAATTTCCATTAATGTTTTGTCTTCATCAGAAACATTGTAGACATTTTTCTCTTTTGTGTCTCCCATAGGCTTGGCAGGATGCTGGACTTGTCCTTTCGACCACGAGTAATGAGGCTTGTAAAATGTTTGATGCTACACTTGCTCAGGTAGGAATGAGGATGAGATTATTGGAGAAGTTAATGGACATAAAACAGTTTACATTTCGTTCCAGTTGATTGTCTTCTGTGGGTGCTGGAGGCAGTTTTCTCCACATAAAGGGGGAGGGGAAGATACCCTAAGAATCATAGGATCATAGAGTTGGAAGGGACCTCCAGGGTCATCTAGTCCAACCCCCTGCACAATGCAGGAAATTCACAAATACCTCCCCCTCCATGCCCGTCCTGTGAGATCCCTCTTGTCCCTCTTGTGACATCCACAAGACCAACCATCTTGTGCGTGTAAACTATAGCATGATAAATAAGTGAACCTAGTATGTGGCTGGGCCACTTTTAGATAGATTATTTAATAATCGTATGGCAGTGGATGTAGTATAGCCAGGAGATCCAAAGATTGGCAGCCTGAAATTCTAGCTCTTTTGGGGGCTGAGAGAACCGTAATTGAACCAAGGTCATCCAGCTGGCTTCAAGTGGAGGAGTGGGGAATCGAACCCGATTCTTCAGATTAGAGTCCGTCACTCTTACCCACTGTGCCAAACAGGGAGTTCCTTTCTCTTGTATGGAGCTTCCATGAATTTCCAGTCCAGACCCCTGATGAGGTGAGTGCTTATGTAGTTTCCTTTATGCCATAGCATCTGTTGTTCCCTGAACCTAAAACTTGCAAGGAGGATGTTTAAGGAAATTCTTCTGTGAGCAGCTGTAGAAAGTGAAGAAATTTCCTCTCCTTAACCATCATATATATATGCACGGTTGTATATTAAGTAGCCACTAATTTTTCTGGTCCATCTGAAATTACCTTGGGAACACAACCCAACAGGTGTCTCAGTTGGCTAATCCATTCTTCGGTGTAGTGGTAAAGTGTGCGGACTCTAATCTGGGAGAACCGGGTTTGATTCCCCACTCCTCCACTTGCACCTGCTGATGTGACCTTGGGTCAGTCACAAGCTCTGGCACAGCTGTCCTTGAAAAAAGTGCAGTCTCTGTCGAGAGCTCTCTCAGCCCCGCCTCCCTCACAGGGTGTCTGTTGTGGGGAGGGGAAGGGAAAAGGAGTTTGTAAGCGGCTCTGAGACTCCTTTGAGTAGTGAAGGGCGGGGTATAAATCCAATCTCCTCTTCTTCTTCTTCTTCCTCTTCTTCTTCCTCTTCTTCTTCTTCCTCTTCCTCTTCCTCTTCTTCCTCTTCCTCTTCTTCTTCTTCTTCTTCTTCTTCTTCTTCTTTTGGGCTGTGAGGTTGCAACCGACTTATGGCGGTCCCAGCAGGGGGGATTCAAGGCGAGTGAGAAGCAGAGGTGGTTTGCCATGACCTTCCTCTGCAGAGTCCTCCCTGGTGGTCCCCCTTCCAAGTGTCAGCCCTGCTTAGCTTCCCGGATCTGAGGAGATGGGGCTATACCACACCATTCCACATCCCGATCCATTCAAGTGATTGGACGAGCAGAACCGAGGTCCATTAGTAATACTGTATTTTTAATTGAACAAGGAAAGTGTTCTTAAGAATGTTCCCTTTGATTGCCGCATATATTGAAAGTTGAAAGTGCATTATTCTGCATCGATTCTTAGCCAGGTGTGTTCTCTCTCTGGCCGCAGTATACAACATGGAGAAATGATACAAGTCTAGGAGGCATTGAAGGGTCTCTCTCAAAATTAGAAGCCGCCGATCCAAATTTTAGTAAGTAACCCTTAGAATGAACTCATCTGACGTGGAAATTGTGTTTTCTTTTGCTGCAACATGTAAAGATAATGGTCAAAAAAATCTTGCACAAAAGTGCAAGAAAGATTAAATGGGTCAGTGAAAGAATTGTTGGATTAGGACCCACCGACATTCACAATGCTTTATGGGAGCTTTCGGTGATACAGAACTTGTCTTCAGGATGAATGGGCAAGAAAAGATAGTGAAATACATGCATGTAGCTAAAAGAAATGTTTTAAAACTCAGATGGGTTATAAAGTTGCACTTTTGTTTACCAAAGGAGAACAAAATGGTATAGAAAAGAAGCCGTGAGATAACTTCTCAAAATACACAGACTTGTGGAGAGGAGAGCAGTCTAAAAATATAAAATAAGGCACAAACATATTTCTGGGAACAATTGGCTGTATTGTAAGTCAGGCGTCTGAGCAGGATTAAAGCAGCTTTTCCCCTCTGAATAAGTTCTCAGACTTCATGAATCCTTTGAGCCAGGCTCTCTCTCTAACCCCCACCCCAGTGTTATTTTGGGTGAGAATAAAATTGTGGGGAGGAGTGTGGAGACCACAAACCCCGAGCTCCCTGCAAGATAAAAAGGTAACAGATGGTTTTTGTTACCAGCTTTGATCAGTCTTACACATTTTGCCTGTGTGTGAGAGGAATCAGATCTAGAACATTCTGGACCTTCTAGCTAAAGAGCTGGCACAAGAACAGAGGTCTTAAGCATTCATGTGTTTATTTAAAGCAGCTTTCCTCCCACCTTTCCTCCAAGGAAACCCGGGTGGCATACCTTATTTTAAAAAAATAATAATTAAAAATATTTTTGTGAGTATTGTGTGTTTGTGTGTGTGTGTAGAAGTCATGGTTGACTTCTACTGACCCCTAGTGGGGCTTCAGAGAGGTGGCTTACTATTGCCTGCCTCTGCATCCCAACCCTGGTGTTCCTCGGAGGTCTCCCTTCCAAGTACTTGCCAGGGTTGGCCCTGCTTAGCTTCCGAGATCGGGCTTGCCTGGGCTGTCCAGGGCAGGGCAGGGCAGGGTGGCACCCATTGACTGCTCTCCCCTCCCGCGTTTTACCCTCGTAACAATCCTGTGAGGTAGGTTACTCAGCGAGATGCATGCTATAGCGAGGATCTGAACCGTGGTCTCCCAGATCCCAGTCCAGGGCTTTGACTGCTACCTCAAACTGACTGGCTGCCTGCTTTGAAGACTGGGATGAGCACATTCCCACCCGCCTCTCTTCTGTCACATCAGCTAGAGCAGGGGTGTTGAACTCATCCGTTATGAGGGCCGGATCTGACATAAATGAGATCTTGTCGGGCCGGGCCATGTGTGCCATAAAATGTAATGCCAGGTAGTGGAGATATAAACTTTATAGAGGGCACAAACACAAAGGTTTTTTTTTTTTACTTAAAATGAAAACATGCTTAAAACATCAGCACTCTTGCAATATTTTGTTTAACAGTGTCTGATAACTGACACCTCTTGCTCTGAATTATTGCATCAAAATGTCTGTGCTGTTGCAATCCTGAGTATGCTGTTCAGATATGTATCTGTAAGCTGCAAACCTACGATGACGCAGCAGCAGCAGAACTGGAAGAAGCAGAAGACAGCCAGTTCCACTGCGGGCCTGATAGAAGCCCTCCGGGGGCCTCCTTGGTTTACTTTGTGTTTCCTGATGGAGGGCCCTGCTCCTTGTTTTCCCTTTTTTGTGGCTGTCCTTTTTCCTTTTTTGTCTGCCCGCTTGTGGCCCAGCAGGTATCTTTTAAAAGAGGCCACAGTTCAGGGGGGGGGGGGCAAACTAACACCAAACAAGTGTGATTGTTGCTAGGTGAGGGGCATAAAGCTGACGCTTGCAGTATTTTGGGTTTAGTGCCTGACATTTTTGAGCTAAGCTGGACTCTTCTGCAACACCATTTCCATTTAGGGGGCATGCTGGAGTGGGACGTGCAGCAAGAACAATATGCTTCTTGTGCTTACCCTTTACACATCATTTCATGCGCTCCCGTGTGAGAAACGTCAGTGATCTGCAGCACGTGAAGTCGTGTTATGCTGAATCAGACCATTTGGGATGAATCAGATCAGTATCTGTATTGTCTACTCAGACTGGCAGCAGGGTCTCAGGCGAAGGTCTTTTAACTGGAGACGCCGGGGATTGAACCTGGGACCTTCTGCAAGCCAAGCAGATGCTCTCCCACTGAGCCACAGCCCCTCACAAAGTGTCAGCTTCGTCTGGAACTCTCAGATGCAATAATTCCTTTATCAGGCTTTATTGAGAAATCAGGAAAGTTGCTGTAAAGTTAAACTCTTTGGCAGAACTGAATAATATTACAAAGTTGGAAATTACAAGACCTTTGGTCCAACACTCATTCATATGTCATGATTCCATAGCATAGAGAGAGGTGGATACAGGTTATTACAGTACAACAAGAATGGTGTGAATATTATCATTTCATGTCTTCCATCCAAGGCCATGAGAATTAGAAACGGCGGAAGTTCCCTCTGGCCCCTGCAGAGGAGGCTTCCTTTCACAGTGGTGCTAGCGCAGCTAATCTACAGTTCACACACACATGTCGTATCCTCCCCCCCTGTCAAGAATGTCAGGGGAGGACCGCTTAGACAGCAACCTGCAGGTGCACAGAAATAGCTTGGGAATTATAAACCTAAAGCATAAAGAACAAGCGGGGTGATTAATAACAGTGCGCAGCTATGTACATCAGTGAACCACAGTTACAAATACATGCTTTTATTGTAAAGACGTTCTGTCTAAATTTCTTGTAATTATATGTAATGCATTTTATAGTTGCTGTTTGCATGTTTGGCTTAAGACCTCGGGTCAATGAAGCTAATAAATGAAATGGAAAGTTACAAATACATGAAGCAGAAGCGAACATAAAGTATTTTGCTGTGAGCATCATTTCTTCCCAGAGTCTGTTGTGCTTCCTGACCTGTCTTTAGTTTTACCTCCTGTCTTATGCAGGGGCCAGAATTTTGAACTCCAGGCTTGGCACTCACCTTGTAACTAAGAGCAGTAAACTTGATATACTTGTTTACTACCTCACAGAAGCTTTTAAAAAACTGACACTGCTTCTTCTTACGTCTGAAGTGGAAGATTTCAGGATTCATCGCCTCTTTCTGCATCAAGTGTGGATTCCCTGCTTCTGTTGATGAGCCCCCAAGCTTCTCAGATTTTTTTTCTGGACATTCTTATCCCACTGTTCCTCCCAAGGTGCCCAGGGCTATGTACATTGCCCCCCCTTTTGTTCTCACAACAGCCCTGTTTGGTAGGCTAGGCTGACAGAGAGAGTGGCCTAAAGTTGCACACTTAAGCTGCAGCCCACTAACCAATATACCACACTGGCTCTGTATTCAAAGAAGTCTTTAAACCAGACGAAGATGCCAGGATTACTGGTGCTATACATCAAACAGAAAAGGCTGTTGTGTCGCATGAAGGCTCAAAGCTACCAAGCGCTGCCCTCATCAGGAGGGAGATTTCTGCTGCTTTGGGCATTGACACTGCAGCCCATGAACTTTGGCTCAGAACGCTCCAACTCACCTCAAAAAATGTCAGGCTTTCACTCCAAAATACTAGCTTTTGCATAGAAGGATTCTGGCGAGTTTCTGGTCATTCCCAGCTCTTTTTAAAGACATGTTTTGGTTATCATGTTTGCACGAACAAAGAGCAAAAGATATCACAAAAAACGATGTTTTATTGCAAGCCGCCTTGCGTAACAATATTGTTTGACCGGTCCTTGAGACCAGGAGAAATAAAAATCTGGAACAAGGAAGCAAACGCTCACTTTCAGGTTCTGTAATTTCCAAATCCACATATGGTTATAAAGAAATAAAAAGGTCCCCTCCCTTTCTGTGTCATGAGTTACTTTTGTATGTTTTATTTGATCTTTCCTGAACTCCTAAGGTGGCAGAGTGTATGGCCTGTTTGTTTTAAAATGCTCTAAAGCTGCCTGTAACTGGATTGGCCCATTGGGCCAATCTGGCTTGCTAACAACTGCAATTTTGGGGGTTTTATTCCAAGCCCACAAACTTCAATGAACTCTCTGGCATCTTTTGACCTTGCAAGGAGAGAAAAATGTGGCAGATAAGTGAGATACAGCTCTAATGTTCTTAAGTACCTTCTGCTTTGTTGAAATATACAAAGTGATTGGTAGACCACGTATAAATGAAGAATTTTGGCATCAAAGAAAATGTAATAAATTTAATACTTCAGAAACAATTCATCCGTAGGCACACACATGACCAATATTTATGTAGTTATTTTAAAACATTTGCTAGTCATCTCTGGCCTAAAGTTTCTGAACACGAAGAACAAGAACTCGGTGGTATTTCCCCTAAAGATGGTTTTTGGGGTTTTTGGTATTGTTGAAGGCTTTCACAGCTGGAGTTCATTAGCTGTTGTAGATTTTCTGGGTTGTATGGCCATGGTCTTGGCATTGTAGGACCTGACGTTTCACCTGCCGTCAGGTCTTACAATGCCAAGACCACAGCCATACAACCCGGGAAATCTACAACAGCTAATTTTTTGTTTTACTTTGGGTTTTTCCCCCTGCAGCAATGGGGCATGTGATTGCTAATGGTTTGGCTCTGATCGGTACGGGGAGTTCAATGCGGCTTGACAGAAAATTAGATGGCGCGATAAAGAAAATGTCGGCACTCGCACAGTCTCAGCCGTTAACTGAGCGGGAGAAGCTACACGTCTCTGCGCTGGAGCTCTTTGCCAATGGGTAAGCCCTCGGTTTGGAGGGAATGGGTCTGGAAACCGTTGTTTCATTTTGGTGTAGTGGTTAAGTGTGTGAACTCTAATCTGGGAGAACTGGGTTTGATTCCCCACTCCTCCACTTGCTCCTGGCTGGATGACCTAGGGCAAGCTGTAGTTCTGATAAGAGCTGTTCTTGGAAAAGAGCAGTTTCTGTCAAGAGCTCTCTCAGCCCCACCTACCTCACAGGGTGTCTGTTGTGGGGAGGGGAAGGGAAAGGAGTTTGTAAGCTACTCTGAGACACCTTTGGGTAGTGAAAGTCGGGGTATAAATCCAATCTCTTCTTCTTCTTCTTCTTCTTCTTCTTCTTCTTCTTCTTCTTCTTCTTCATTGTTTGATTTATAGCTCGCCTTCCTTGCTGCGACTCAAAGTGGACTTCAGAATTTAGACATGCCGGACTTCCGGTTTGTGGATCAACGATAGCGGTCGTTCTCCCCGGACCTCGGGGGCGCGACCTGCACACCAGCGATATGGAGGGGTGCTACCTCAAGTAGCACTCACACGGAGCCTTTGCGATAGGCTCCAGGCCAGAGGGCTTTTGAGGGGCAGCCTCTTCGATGGCTCAATGCTGGAGAATTGAGGCTTCTCTCCACCCTGACAGTCCTGCCGCTGTGTGGCCCTCGGGCACAAGCTGATTTGACTGGGACAAGCGCTGAACATCGAGCGGAATATCGATTACTGTGAATGAGGTCAGAGAAATGACCGACAATGAACGTGAGTTCAAAATAAATGGAATATTTTAAAAGCGAAGTACCCCCTCCCCTCGTGGGAAAAGCGAAGTGCAAAGAGGGATGCCTCTTATGCGAACCGACAGATAAGCGTAACAAAGGGGGTAGGGGGGAAACACGCAGCTATTTTGTTTTGAGAGACTTACTTGAGCACTGACATCGAGGTGACGGTTTTTCGAGTCTGCGAGAAGCGGTTTGGAATTGTAAACAATCGTATAAAATGGCGGCCTCGCAAAGAAAGTTTAAAATGAAACCGGCGGGTAGTCAGAGCCCAAAACCGGAAGAGGGAGCAGACATCATGAAAATGTTAGTGGATATGCTCAAGCCGGTGATGGAGCAACTCGATGATATTAACCAGCAACTGACTTCGCTGAATCAAAACTTCGCATCCCAGCAGCTCCAACTGGCAGAAACAGCGAAGAAGGTGGCGCATACGACTGAGAAAATTATAGATAGACACCACAAACAAGAAAATGAAGAAAAGAATGGGGGTAGTTGAAGTAAAACAAAACTTCCAAGAAAACCGTTTGTTACAGCTACAAATGGAAAAAGCCAACATGATTCTCAGATTCCATCGAGTTTCTGCATCGGAAAAGGAGGATCTGAGGAAGTTGCTCAGCGAGATCATTGCTCCAGCAATAGGCTCAACAGCGGATGAAGTAGTAAAAGAGATGGAGACTGCTTATAGGGCATACTCCAACTATATTTTTAAGAATAGCCTGTCTGGAGAAATTGTGGTCAGATTCTCAAGAAGACAGACCAGAGATGCTAAGGTGGGCGATCCCAGAGGGTGTCATCTTTAAAATCAACAACAAAAGATAAAAGATTGACTCAATTTTTAAAGCCGAAGAATTTTTGAGACGTCAGTTGGGATCGGAGGAAGAATCCAAAGATGAAGAATCGAAATCAAGTGATTCTGCTACCTCTGGAACGGATGAGGACTCTGCTGTAGGAACGGGTGCAGGCGCAGCAAAAATTACATATGATTTCAGAGACAGAAAACCGAAGTAAAGGCAGAAGGACTCTGAAAATTGCCTTTTGAAGCAAATAACAAGAAGATGCTCAGAAAGTTCTCTCATAACAACTAACATACTAACATTGAAGCCGAGACAAACAAGAACTCTAAGAGTATATTGCTGTACTAACACTTATTAATAACACTTAGATTAACATGGATATGATCTCCTCCTCTTGGGGTTTTAGTATAGTGTGGTTATCTATCCTTTATCCTTAGATGTAGTCCCCTTCCCTTATATTTTCTTTGTAGTTTTGTAGTCTTATATAAAAATAATAAAAAATATCCCTCTGGGGATAAAAAAAAAAGAATTTAGACATGCCATAGGAGTCATGTAAAGCATATAAGAAACATAGTAAAAAAAATTGCTACCTTTCAATAATATCTAATGCTCTAGAAATATCCTCTCAACAATTATCCATCTGAACAGGCAATCCCCAGCTTTCCTGTATAAACCATTTATTTTGTTGTCTGTTCTTGGGCTAAAGCACCATTTTTTGTTGATTTTCTTTGTAAAAACTAACCCTGTCAAGAGTGCAGGCTTCTCTAGACTGCTTTTCATTGTTTGAAATTCCTTCTCCTCCATGTAGTTTCTGGATTAGTTCTCCCTGTCCCTTATTCAACACACAGGTCTTATCCAGAAATTCCACTTTGCAAGTAAATAGAAAATGTTTTGGAATCAGAAGAGGGAACACTTTTTGGTTGTTGTTTTTTGGCTCATAAGAACATAAGAGAAGCCATGTTGGATCAGGCCTATCCAGTCCAACACTCTGTCTCACGCGGTGGCCAAAAGCCAGATGCCAACAGGAAGTCCAGCAGTGGGACTCCTGTAATGTATTCATAAGCTGCCGTTGAATGCATTATGTGTTGTGTAACATCTCATTGAAAAGCTATGTTAAGCTTCGTCCTGGGCTAGGATCCAAATACATCCAATCGTATTGCTAGCCCAGGAAGCACCTAGCCAATCACTTTACAGCAAGCTCCCTGAGCGGGAACGTCCGTGATTGGTCCTTATCTGAACAACTGTATTGGTTGGTATTTGTACAGTGGGTGTGGCTACATTAGCCAGGAGAGTTTAAAAGCAGGACTACTGCTGTGTAAGAACTGAACTGTTCTGTTCTGGCTATCAGATGTTGATCCGTGTTGGAGTTGTGTTCGAGTTGATGAATAAAGTTGTGTTCTTGCTGAATCACTCTCTGACTTCTTTGTTAAGCGAGCGATTTAACAACTCCTTCTGTTACTTTACGGCTCTAGTGGTTAAGTCATGCCTGCTCATCTTATGACTCACCAAGACAAAGGTCTTGGTCCACCAGCCATTTACACCAGGTCACTCCTTGAGGCTAGTCCCTGGGAATCAGCCCTGCGTGGTCGATGGACTCTGTTTGACTTAGTGGATCACAGACAATGTAGGCCTGAATTAAGTTAATGCTAGCTTTTGTTTCAGAGATTAGGCCTGAACAGGCAAGGGGCTGTCAGCAACCCTGGTATGAAGGATAACTGGTGTGTTTCCTCCTCCCCTGCAGGGAGCTTCCTAAAGCTTGTGATACATGGGATCAAATCCTACACAACCACCCAACTGACTTGTTAGCTATTAAGTTTGCACACGATACTTATTTTTACTTGGGACGTCAGATCCAAATGAGAGATTCTATTGCCCGAGTGTATCCTCACTGGACACAAGACATCCCTCTTAGCAGGTAAGATCATTTTTGTTCTGCCGCTGTCTGCACGTGCTGTTCTGCTCATGGTCTTTTCTTAAACCAAAGAACATCTGTAAATGTTGGCTCATTTCATAGTTCCTTAGTGAATTTGTAGTCCGACAGAATGACATGTAAATCAATACAAATTGGATTCAGAGACCCTTTCACTTACAGAAGTTATTTCAGTGTTTTCCAGTATGTATTATTTAAAACATTTTCCTTCCACCTTATCTCCATGGATTCAAGGTAGACAGTGCAGCGTGAATCTGTGAGGACCTAAATATTAACAAAATTAAATAGATTAAAGACATACAGATCACCAATTTGAAAGCATTCAGATTTAAAACACACAGCAAGCTCACAACTAAATCTGATGGAACAATTCATGCTCTGCCCAGTACCTTTGACAGTGCATCCTAGGAACACTCTCCTGAGAGTAAGCCCCACTGAATAGACATGGGTAGGATTCTGAACAGACTGTTTAGGATTGCTGTCTAATAGTAAAATCCTAATCGGGTCTCCCAGTGGGCAGCACTTAACTGCCAGGAAAGCGTTCTTAGGATGACACTTTTTGAGAGTCAGAGGCTTGCAGTAGGAGGCTTAGACGTTTTCCACAAAACCGGGTCTCCTGGCTCCTGCATTTGTATTCCTTCGCGGCTTCTTTCGTTTCTGCAGAGGTATATTCCATCCCAGGAGCAAAAACAAAGTTTGCTCCCTCTTGTGGCGCCGCAAGGGAATTCCCAGAAACAGTGAAGTCTGATGCTGCGCTGCAAGAGAAGACAAACTTCGTTTTTTGCACCTCGGACTGAATATATAACTGCGGAAATTAGTGAAAGGCAGAGGAATACAAATGCAGGAGTGGGGAGGCCCGATTGTGCAGAAAACATCTTAGCAAATCGATGGCTGAGGTGAGATTTCTTGCCTGCTGCTCACATTATTACACAGATTCTGTAGTTGCTGTCGTCTATTGAGAATGCAGTGTTGATTCCCTGAATACACTAATTTCTAGAGAGGCCCTCTCACAAATACTAAGATCTTACGTAACTAGCTTTTGTAGAGTAGAGTTATCTTGACTGGGATATTAATTATTCTCTGACTCTGAAAGGCTTTTCCACTCTTTGCTTAGTTACCTGAAAGGCATGTACTCCTTCGGGCTAATGGAAACCAATTTCTTTGATCGTGCTGAGAAGCTTGCCTATGAGGTAAAGGAAGCCAAAGGCTGACAGTCGGCATTTTCAATTTGTCTGTGGAAGTGTTGGGTGAGGAAAGTGGTTGGTAGTAACTCTGAGCCCACGAAAAAGAGGATTGTTTCCTAGTCTTTTTAAAATCTGCTCGCTTCACTGAATTTCTCTACCAGGAGTGGGGAGCCCAGAACACATCGTACTCCAGCTTGTACCTCCTCTCACCGTTCTCTCAGTTGCGGTCTGTTTTCCTCCCCTCCTGTGGACTCACTTGGGTGTGCGGCCCACAGAGCTCTTTTCTTAAGAACATAAGAGAAGCCATGTTGGATCAGGCCAATGGCCCATCCAGTCCAACACTCTGTGTCACACAGTGGCTAAAAAAAACCCAGATGCCATCAGGAGGTCCACCAGCAGTGCCAGAACTACAGAAGTCTTCCCACTGTTGCCCCCCCAAGCACCAAGAAGACAGAGCATCGGTGTCCCAGACAGAGTGTTCCATCTATACCTTGTGGCTAATAACCACCGATGGACCTCCATTTCATATGTTTCTCCAATTCCCTCTTGAAGCTGTCTTTGCTTATAGCCACCACCAATGTTCCCTCTAAGCTGTGGCATCTTGTGAGCAGAAGTTCTGCTTTGTGAGTGACTGGCATTAAAGTTGTGAGCAAGTGATTTGTCTACTGCATAAATCAGTTAGCTCTGGAGCCCTCCTTCCTGAGCTAAGACAAAAATGTGTGAGCTGGAGGCTAAAAAACTGTGAGCTAGCTCACACTAACTCAGCTTAGAGGGAACACTGGCCACCACCACTTCTTGTGGCAGTGAATTCCACATGTCAATGACTCTTTGGGTTCTAAGCTGAGTTAGTGTGAGCTAGCTCATGGTTTTTTAGCCTCCAGCTCACAGATTTTTTGTCTCCACTCAGGAAGGGTGGCTCCAGAGCAAACTAATTTATGCAGTAGCCAAATCGCTCACTCACAGCTTTAATGCCAGGAGCTCACAGAGTAGCATTTTTGCTCACAAGACTCCACAGCTTAGAGGGAGCATTGCCCACGAGTTCTTGTATTGTGAGAAAGGGAGAAAAGTACTTCTTTCTCTACCTTCTCTATCCCATTCTCTATCTTGGTGTGCTAGGTATTATTCCTCTGTGGCAGGGTATGTCACTTGTCATTTTGCCCACCCAAGAGACACAAGCCATTTGAGGCTTTTCTAAAAAACAGAGTAAGGAATAAGAAGGCAGCACTTTGGTTAATCTCCCGTAATGAAGACGCTTTATCTCCCCCACCCTTCTTCTCTTAGGCGTTAGCGATCAACCAGACGGATGCATGGTCCGTGCACACCATTGCTCATGTGAATGAAATGAAAGCAGACCTGAAGAGTGGGCTGGCGTTCATGAAGCAAACCGAAAACAACTGGAAGGTCAGTTCCTCTTACCTGGCTGTCAAGTTGCTGAGCTCTGCACGGTCATGCACTGAATGTGTTTCTTCCATGTACTGTGTTACAAACAAGCCATCAGATGGACCTCTGCTTTAGATGCCTTGGCCTTCTGATGTAAGTCTGGCACATGCAAGGAGCAGGGGCCTTTTCAATGGTGGCCCCCTTTATTGGGTGTAGTACCCAAGAGCTCAGACAGATGTCCTGAAGATCAGGCATCTCTGTCCATCTGTACAGTTCTTAAACTGCAGGCTTTTGAAGCCTCAGTTTTCCCCAGTCGGTATAGGGAAGAGAGAATCGTTCAACTTCCGCTCAGTTTCACCAATGAAACTGAGTATCCCACTTCATTGTTAGCATTTTAAGGGGGGGGATGGGGAGATGTGCTTTTTTGCATCGAGTCAGCTAGCTGGACAATTTTAGACAGATATTTGAGCTTCCCTATTTCAGAGGGAATTATGGATAACTGACTGATTTGCTTATTCTTGTGCTGCAATGACTATTCACCCTTGTCTTAATACGTTATTATTTGAAACAGTATTTTTAACCGTTTTTGAAATTTTAAAATCGGGTTGTTTTAGAATACAGAGCTGAAAAACTAATTGATTAAGGGAGCGATCATGTGCAGGTCTACTCAGAATTAAGTCCAGTTTTATTTGGTGGGGTTAACTCCCCAGAAAGTGCTCCGAGGACAGCAGCCATAGGCGGCGGTCACACATACTAAATAATCCGTTCAATCCACTTTCAGTGCACTTTACAACTGGATTTTACTGTGTGAACCGGCAAAATCCAATTCGAGAGTGCATTGGAAGTGGATTATTTTGTGTGTGTGATCGCAGCCTTAGTGAAACAGCTAAAAGTGCCCTTTAATTGATCACTGTTGTTATTCCTATAAACTGTTTTGTAGGTCTCAGATGGAAAAGTGAGGTATACTAAGTTACGTTATGAGCCATGAAGTGCAGGCTCACCTAAGCCACCAATAGACTCACCTTAGACGTGCAAAAGCCACTGTCCTTTCTTCCCCCAACTTCTAGTTAGTATTATAAGGGTGATAATGCCTTCCATGGATGTTGTAAGCATTAATTTTGCAAGCAGGGTCCTTGAAATCAGATGCTTTTGAGTGGGGGGGGGCACAGTGTATTGGATCAGGGACCCGTGTAGCTTTCCCACTATAGAGTATTCTGGCCTCTGAATGGCCCTGGAATGTCTTCCAGTTGTTCATTGCTTTATTTTAATTTAATGTAAACATTTGCTTCCCCCTCCCTTTTTCTCATTGTTACCAGGATAGTGATATGCTTGCTTGCCATAACTACTGGCACTGGGCTTTGTATTTTATCGAACAGGTACGTGAGCATTTCTGCAGCTTTGCCAGTGTTTGTTTGAAAATCCTTGAGAGAAGGTTGATTTTTCTGCTGTCCTTCTGTCATTTCTTTCCCTTTATTTGGTTTGCTCATTCTGTACAGGGGACAGGTGGCATTTTAACTTCCCCCAGTCTTGGGACCTAGGGCACTATTATTGCCCCATTTGGAAAAGAAAGTGCTATTATATTAAGCAGGAGGATTAAAAACAAAACAGTGTGTGGAATGAGATGAATTCTTTCTTTACAAGAAGGCAGTGCAGGCCATGGTTGAAAATGGTAATTGGTTTGGATGTGTTTCTCTTGTGTGTATGAGTCCAGTAGCACCTTAAAGACTTAACAAAACTTGTGGCGGGGTATGAGCTTCCGTGAAGTGAGGCAGTGGCTCACGAGAGCTCCTCCCCTGCCACAAATTTTGTTGGTCTTTAAGGCGCTCCTTTCTACCACTGAGACAGACTAACACGGCTTGGCAGCCCTAGGGCCACCCTTCCCTGGAGTGAGCTCAGGGCGGCTCACAACAAAATAACATACAGATCTCAATTTAAAATAGAATTAAAATAATCCGGCAATCTCCAGTAAATTAAAAAAAACATGACCTTCAGTATATAAGATGGTGAATAAGAAATCCCACTCCCCTCGCCTGCCAGGGGGAGGGTTTCGAGGGATGGAGGAATTATACAAAGGCGCCAAAGAAGCCCTGCCACTGAAGTTAAAACAGATTTTAAAAATTGCAGTTACCCTGCAGGGGAGCAGACAGACACGGTTGCCTGTTAGCATGATACTTCCGAGAAAGCAAGTTGTTTTTCCAACCTGCAAAAAAAATATATGTGACAATGGAATCTGATCTTGTCCTTCTTCATGCAGTCCAGTTCCAGCTACATCCCAGCCCTTCCTAATAGCAAAATTCCTGGGGGGGGGGGTGTGGCCGTGGCCAATGCTCCCTCTAAGCTGTGGAGTCTAGTGAGCAAAAATTCTGCTTTGTGAGCTACTGGCATTAAAGCTGTGAGTGAGCGATTTGGCTACTGCATAAATTAGTTTGCTCTGGAGCCATCCTTCCTGAGCTAAGACAAAAATGTGTGAGCCAGAGGCTTAAAAACTGTGAGCTAGCTCACACTAACTCAGCTTAGAGGGAACACTGGTGGTGGCGGCAGTGGCGATAGTCTGACTCAACGTGCTTCTGCCCATGCTTCTTGTTACCGGTTCTGTAAAAATCAAAGCATGAAATTCTCTTTGCTTTCGTAGGGCGACTATGAGGCTGCTCTGACCATTTATGACACTCACGTAAGTACAAGTTTTTCCTTGCAGGCAAACGGCCCGGTTCTCTCCATCCCCGTCTGACTGCGTTTGTGACTTGATGCTGAAGTTGCTGCTCTTCCTGGCCAAGGAAAGCTGTGACCTGCAGGGGCAAATTTCTTATCTGGCATAGTTTGCAGCGCCATCCTGAGCAGAGCAGCACCCTGTTAAGCTCATTGACGCCGGTGGACTTAAAAGGGTGCAGCTCCACACAAGGCGAGGCTGTGAGTCTGCCTCTTCTTCCCCTTTCGAATAATTTATTTTGTTAGTCACGGGGCCTATGAGGAAGCTGTGCTTCCACGGCACTGTTTGGACTCCTCTGTTTTCCCATTTTACAGTGTGGACTTTGCTTTCACCCATGTCACGGCTCAGGTGAGGTGTCACCTGATGCTGCCACCACTCTGGGCCCTTGAGAAGGCCCAGAGCACCCTCCCAAGACCTTTAGACCTCCCTTTTGGCCGAATAATAGGCGTGAGAACCAGGCAGAGTGAACAAAGACAATTGATTAATTTATAAGAGGTCAAACAACAAGGTGCAGAATAACAGTAAGTGGGTGAAAAGAAAAGAAATCAAATGCCCTTACGCGTCTAAATGTACTGTCCCTAGCTCACTATCTGCAGTGGCCTTAGACTACTCACCCTTCCCTCAGGATGAGGGTTTCTTCCTTGCAGCAGCCTTCCTTCTGGCTCTGCCCTCTGGGAAGAAGAACAGCTTTTCCTGCTGCTCCAGATCTTTTATTCCAAGCCCTCCTTTTTTCCTATTGGTCAATTTTGGCTCCAAAACCTCTCAGGGGCTTCTGGGAGTTGTAGGCCCAGCCTCACCTACTGCTAGTTACCTTGGGCCTAGTAGGCCTCTGGTGGCACAGCCCAGATCATGACAACTCACCTGACTGATGTTGGCAGGAGCATGTGAGTGGAGGGAGGCAGCGACACTGTGCTGCTGAGAGGTTCTATCATCAATAGGCTGGTTGGTTATGGCTGAGCTCAAAGCCAAGGAGATGTCTGATTATTCATGGGTGGGGTTTCTACACAGTTTAACTCCTTTCGGCCAGTAAACTCCAGGACGGAGAGTCTCATATCACCCTTCTGAGGGAGCGCAGACTGGCAGAAGGGGGGGGCACCTGTACAAAAGGAGCGTAGTTACCTTGGCCGTATTTGGGCCAGTCACGTAGTCTCAGCCTGTTCTACCTCACACGGTTGTTGTGAGGATAAAATGGGAGAAGAGAAGAAAGGTGTAAGCTCCTTTGGGGAGAAAGATGGGAGAGAATTGAGGTAAATAATAAATGGATAATTGTCTTAATCCTCATAAGCAGAAGGTGAAACATTCCATTTTTAAATGCTTGTTCCAGATTCAAGATAGTGATGTTCAAAATTATTTATTTACAAAAATGTGAGCATATAATGTAGAGCTTTGAGTGCTAGTCCATCTCTTCTCCCCACCCACCCCATATCCCATGGTTCTTCCCGTACAAAATCTATCTGAGCTCATATATAATCTTAAGAAAGTTATCTCGGTACTCAGGCAGGATCCCATAGTAATGGACACTTCTAGCCTTGAACTGCAACAGAGAAATCACTGTCAAAACGAAAATGCTTCTCGGTGCCAGAGAAGAGAGAGTGAAAATACTTCAGAAGTCACCGTGTTCCTCACAAGGGGAGAACTTTCACACCCAAAGGTCACCAGGCATTAATCAAATTAGTCACCAGATTGATAAGTGTCTGTTCCAGGACACTTAGATGAGGAATCAATGTTTACTTACTCAAAGGTATTAGCTATGTGGTAATATGAATGTCATCAGTCAGTCTTCCCACACTTTTATGAATCACGCCAAGAATGACTCAAACATGAGAGTGACCTGGCATTCTATTACAGAAATGCTGATGCTTGTAGTATTCATTATGATACCCCCAAACGATCTTTGTGTACACTGTCTTCTTGCCTTGGACAAATTTTTCTTTTCTTGCATTGTTTCCCAGTTCTTCAGGTCTAACCCCACTGCATTGTCCTTTCCCCCTCCCAGAGTTCTTTGGTGTCTGAGTTGTTTTTATCATATGTAGTAATCTTCAGTTCTAACCCCACTGCATTCTCTTCCCCCGAACTCTTTGGTGTTTGATTGAGTGGATTTTTATCATATTTAGTCATCTATCTATTCTCTTTCAATGCACTTTGCAACTGGATTTTACTGTGTGGAATGGCAAAATCCACTTGCAAACAATCACTAAAGTGCATTGGAAGTGGATTGAAAGTGCATTATTCAGCATGTGTGAACATGAGAAAGGTAGACTATAAATAAAAAATAATAATAAGACATTGTGAACACAGCATCTGAACCACAGTCTGTGGACGAGCATAGATTTATGTACTAGAAGAAGTTTTATGAAAAGTGCAAGTTAGCTCACCTTAGTCAAAATTATTGGATTTACAGAAGAGGGCCTAAGTGATATTTGGGGAATCAAGGAAGGCACCAAGTCCATATGCTTGCACAGGGAAAGCAAGTTAGTAATACGCAGTTTAATTTTGAGTTTTAAAAATTAGAAGAATACAAGAGGGGGACCTGCAAGGATTCACAGGGGAGGGGAAATCCCATTCCCTCCCCCCATTGGCTCCCGCTTCTCCCCTCTTGCTTTGTCCGGCTTCCTTGAAAGTGGCCAATCCAAGTGCTGTCTGTCTTGTGGCTTACAGATTGCACCCAGGTGCCAGTCAAGTGGGACCATGCTGGATGTCGTTGATAATTGCTCCATGCTGTATCGGCTGCAATTAGAAGGTACAGAACTGCTTTCTCCTTGTGTGTTTCGTTAGCGTCGTTCAGAAGACGACGCTTTAGGCTGAGCCAGAAGTAATTTTTTTCTTTATAGTCCTCTAGATGCACATTTCGACGTCTCTTAAAATGCCGAGCTTCCAAGAAGAAGACACACAGATAAAAAAGAAACAAAATCCCCCTCAAAATTAGCCTTTTGAGAGCAATCCCCACCCCTTTGTTTTAAAAAATGTACTAATTTTTTGGCATGCAAAGGGCTACTTTGGAAGGGGTTTCTGTTATGTCTTGTTTGTTTCTGTAGTGCGCTTTGCTCTTCTGTACCATAGAAACAAACAAATAATAATAGCAAACTCCAGCCCTTAGCCTTTTACATGCCAAACAACATTTTCTGGTATTTTTTTGAAACACAAAGCACTAGTTTTAAAGGGATGTCTTTCTTTGCTTGTGTTTGTTTCTGTGTTGCAGAAACACACAAGTGCATGCTTCTTTACCACAGGAGGGGTCGAACTTTTGAAATGGCCCCTTCCTGTGTTGCTGTTTCTTGGTTGTGAACCGGGGGTGTGCTTTTTAAATTGTTAACCCATCCTGAGTAGGACTCTGGAGAGGCAGCACAGAAATCTGCAGAATAAATAATACCTTCCTGAGGATCCCTGATTCTTGAGATTGTAGAAGAAGAAGAAGGTTGGTTTTTTATATCCCACTTTCCTCTGCCTTAAGGAGTCTCAAAGTATCTTACAATCACCTTCTCTTCCCCTCTCCCACAACAGGCACCTTGTGAGGCAGGTGGGGCTGAGTTCTGAGAGAACTGTGACTGGCCCAAGGTCACCCAGCAGGCTTCATGTGTCTCAAAGGTCTTTTAGTTGCCTTCCCTTCCTCTCCCCACAACAGGCACCTTGTGAGGCAGGTGGGGCTGAGTTCTGAGAGAACTGTGACTGGCCCAAGGTCACCCAGCAGGCTTCATGTGGAGGAGGAGTGAGGAATCAAGCCCAGCTCTCCAGATTAGAGTACTCCGCTCTTAACCACTACACCACGCTGGTGCACACATATGGCACTTTTAAAAATACTCCCTTTGTCTATCATTTCCATGAACATCTGAGAAAATGGGATTTGGTGCTTGGGGGGGCAGTGGGAGGGCTTCTAGTGTCCTGGCCCCACTGGTGGACCTCCTGATGGCACCCGCAATTTTTGGCCCCTGTGTGACAGAGTGTTGGACTAGGATGGGCCATTGGCCTGATCCAACATTGCTTCTCTTATGTTCTTACGTTTAAGCATTGTTTCATTAAGCCTTGAGTTTTGGCCCTGCAAGTTCCACAGCATATAACAGAAGATTGTCTGTGTGAAACTCCTGTATCAAAGGTGCAGCTGGAGGAAGCCGCGAATCTGTGGCCTCTTAGCCATCGGCTTCTGCTCCCCTCCCCTGACTGTGTTAAACAGGAAGAACAAGCGACAGAAAGCCAAGCTTGATTGTTGTATGGCCTGACAAAGGAGGACCTGCCCCTTCCCCTGTGGCCTTCATTCTCTGCTTGGCCTTTCATTCTGACGGTTTAGGTGTCCTTTGTTAGAGGCGCATTCCTGTGGGCAGCCGTGTTGGTCTGAAGCAGCAGAACAGAGTTCGGGTCCACTTAGAGGCAGCCACTTATGTGAGAATGGGGAAGAGGTGGACCCGAGTGGTCAGTAAACATTTATCCCAATAGAGAAATTATGTTGTACATTTTTTAAAAAGCCTTCCAAAACTAAATAGATCAATGTAATGCATGTCTGTTCCAGAGTCAGTCCTAGTGTTTTCGGTGGGGCCTACGCCCAGGTAATGGCAGAGAATTGCGGCCAAAGACATATTTCTTTAAAAAAATTTAAAAAAGACTAGGCTAGATGTTCTAAAAGGAGCTGCGGTGGCTCAAGTGGTTAAGACGCTGAACTGCAGGCTGTGGAAGGTCGGTAGTTCAGCAGTTCGAGACCCGAGTGTGCCACATGACGGAGTGAGCTCCCGTCTCTAGTTCCAGCTCCTGCCAGCCTAGCAGTTCGAAAGCAAGGAATTGCAAGTAGATAAATAGATACCACTTCGGTGGGAAGGTAACAGCGTTCCGTGTGCCTTGGTGTTTAGTCATGCCGGCCACATGACCACGGAAACGTCTTCGGACAGCGCTGGCTCTTTGGCTTTGAAATGGAGATGAGCACCGCATCCCTAGAGTCGGATTCGACTGGCTTTCGAGCAAGGGAGACCTTTACCTTTACCTAGATGTTCTAAATATGTGGCACTTGACTCCTAGGTGTGAAACTGGGAGACAGGTGGCAAGGAGTAAACCAACTGACGCAGAAACATGCCTCGGATCACGTCCTGATCTTCAACGACGCTCACATTCTGATGGCTTCATTAGGGGCCAAGGACCAAAAAACGACTCACGAGCTGTTAACAACTCTCCAGGAACTGGTCCAGTAAGCTACAAACAGTGTTATGAGTACAGATCTCTTTTTCTTCTTGCTTGGTGTTTTGTTTTTTTCAAGTTCTAACTTTCTGCCTCTGTTCTTGTGATCCAGTGACGCAGCCACCCCCAGTGCAGTGGCTGTGGCTTATTAGCGCTGCAGTTGGCTGTTGTGTGACTTCCCCCTCTCTTTTCTGTTCTCCAGGGCGCCTGGCGAAGACTACGAGCTAAACCTCTCTCTGAGGCTGGGCCTTCCTCTGTTGCAAGCTTTCGTCGCGTTTGAGAATGGCAACTACGACAAAGCGGTGGAGTTGCTCTATCCCATTCGCTACCAGCTGGTTGAGATAGGGGGAAGCAATGCTCAGGTGAAGGGGCAGGGTGGGGCTTTCTAAGATGGAAGTTTGGCCGGCTTTGGTCTGTCAGTGTTGGTGCCCCAGGAAAGGTGGAGGCTAGCTGGAGAGGAAATGTCTCCAGGAGTGGATGAGGCCGTGGTGTGAAGGGACAGCTTCAGCTTTGAAGAACAAGTAGGAATGAGAGGGGTGCTGGGCTTAGTTCGTGGTCGCCGTCATGCTTGTTCTCTAACCTTGTTCCTTCTAAATATACCCAAGATCTGAAAGCCCCCAAATCCTCTTGCAGGTGCATTCCCTGGCTGCATCCACTTCAGGGCCTTGGTGCAATTCCCACCCCAAAACCTCCTGGAGGTTTAGATCTGATTGGAGGCAAACACACTCAGTAGACAATGACTTCTTCCCATCTGTACTGCTACTGGGGACAAGAGCCTTCTTCTGACCACCATGAAGGGCAACAGAACCATCCTTTCCCTTAGGAATTCCTGCAGGGACGTTTCCTCTTCCTTTGCGTTCACGCTCAGTGCCATGTTTTCTTTCATGACTTACTTTGCCTACATTTTGTACAATTGTGATGCCCCTTCTCTTTCAATGCTGGCATTCAGAAGAAGAAGAAGAAGAAGAGATTGGATTTATATCCTGCCCTTCACTACCCAAAGGAGTCTCAGAGCGGCTTACGAACTCCTTTCCCTTCCCCGCCCCACAACAGACACCCTGTGAGGTAAAAGAAGAAGAAGAGATTGGATTTATACCCTGCCCTTCACTACCCAAAGGAGTCTCAGAGCGGCTTACGAACTCCTTTCCCTTCCCCGCCCCACAACAGACACCCTGTGAGGTAAAAGAAGAAGAAGAGATTGGATTTATACCCTGCCCTTCACTACCCAAAGGAGTCTCAGAGCGGCTTACGAACTCCTTTCCCTTCCCCGCCCCACAACAGACACCCTGTGAGGTAGGCGGGGCTGAGAGAGCTCTTGACAGAAACTGCTCTTTTTCAAGGACAGCTGTGCCAGAACTACAGCTTGCCCAAGGTCATCCAGCAGGTGCAAGTGGAGGAGTGGGGAATCAAACCCGGTTCTCCCAGATTAGAGTCCACGCACTTAACCACCACACCAAACTGAGTCCAGCCAGCCCCTGCCAATTTTATTTCAAAGTTTATTTATTTGGTTTTTAGAATAATATATACTTTTATTTTGGATATAAACAACATCAAAAATATACACATAAGCTAGAAATACTTTTTTTAAACAACAACCCACGTGTATATGTAAAGATACATTTTTAAAAATATAATCCAATAATTCTTATTTGAGTACCAGGATCAAGTATTAGCACATTAATACATAAATCTTTAGTTTACTTATTTGTTCATGTTAGTTTTTACATTTTGCCACATCCATTCTCCATAAGGTACCTGTTTCCAATATAAGTATAAATTATCAATTTAATTTTTATAACTTTTAGATTTTCCAATTATTTTTTTAAATTTTTTAACATTTTGAATTTACTACTATATTTGCATCCAAACATTCTATACTAAACTCTTATATCATTACAAAATCAATTTTAATTGGTCTTACTTTTCAGAATGGTATCAGATTAATATCCAGACTTCCTTTACCAAGTTTTCCTATCTTTAATCACTGCAAAACCAATACAGTACCCTCTTAACACCCCACTATATCATTCTACTTTTTATTTTTAATTAAAGTTTCCAAGGTCAGTACTTCCATTTAAACAAACATCCTAAGGAGGTAGACAAGCAAAGAAAATGATACAACTTGATTTTCCACCTATGGATCAACAGTCTGCTCTTCTGTAACAACCTGTCTAAATGTTTTCGATATTTCCATGTATGATAATTTCTTCCCAAGCTGTTCCTTTTTCTTCTCAACCAATCAAACGTCCATAAAGTATTGTCTCCTTTAAGTTTCCATGAACGTCGCTTTTCCCTTTTCTTTTTCCTTGTTCTTTCTCTCTTGAAATTTATTTTTTGCTCCTGATTTTTTGGGGGGATTTTCATCTTTTCAATAGTTATATTTATTGTCTTTTTCCCAGATATTTTAATTTGAGAGGAGGATGAAGGTATAGTCTCCAGTTTGTTTTTTGCTTGCTGAGAAAGTCCCTTTTCCATTAAACTCTTGGGGTATTGTTCCAGCATTTTCTCATTTTCTATTTCTAATTGCAAGTTGTTTGGCTTTCCTAATACATTTGCAAAAGCTTCTCATTATCTTCATAAATTGCTCTACTGTAATCTCTCCACTAGAGTGTTCTCGTTAATTTCCTCCTCCTCCTCTTCTACCATAGAAACCATTTTAATTGTCGTTTTAAATTGATTTACTCAAGTTTTAACAGTCCTTCCATTCCAAGGAGATAAAAGGACAAACAAACTGGTTTCTTTTAACTATTATCTCCCAATGTTCTTAGATGTCCTTGCCCCTAAGGAGAAGCCAAACATCCCCTGGAGAAAGATAAATAAACATCCACAAGCCTTTCATCTGCTCCAACACGCTCTCTGGCCGCTCTTCTTTTCCATTCTGCAAACTTATACTCCAGACTCAGCCATATTTTATATAGATAGAGGTACTCACAGTTCCTTTTCTCATATTTCCTCCCTTTAGGTTGCTGTTATCTTTGTAATCCATACAAGTTAAAATAAAAGACGGATGGCGGCGGCTATGTGAAGCATAGAAAACCATGCTTCACTCCACAAGCTGCTCCTGCGTCGGGTCACATAGTGGACACACACCCCCTTGCCAGTTGCGGGGGCGGGCAGAATAAAGCCTCCTGCTCCAGACCTCTCTCCGGGAGGTCTGGCGGAGTTCCCCCGGCAACCGGGAGACTCTGAAGAGAGCAACAAGGGATCCGGCAGCTCAGAGCACACCGAGAACTGCCCGTCGCCGCGCCCTGCCCCTGCCAATTGTTAATTTGGCTGTCAATATAAACACCAGCAGAAGAACAAGAAACCAGTATCATGGGCAAAATGATCAGCGGGTCATCATACAGCAATAGGGATGCAGAAGGACCACACTCTTCTCTCAAAGGCATTCGTCTCACAGTAGTAAATAAGCTTATTGTCTTAGCTGTCCATCTCACATCTCCATTTCCTGTTAGATGAATGCCGGCACGTAATGGACTTTCTGTTTGGATTTGGTCAAGTTTCTACTCTCGGACCTTGATCATTATGTCTCTAGTAGAATGGCCTCATTTCCCTTAGCCACAAGAAAAATAAGAATGAGTGTAGTATTCAATGCAAAGTAGAAAGAGTATAGGATTCAAAGTAAGATACTGATATTTTTATTGCTTACATTATCATTTTATAGTCTGATATATATTTTTCTATCCAGGTTTGATGTGTTATGTTATGGCCTATATTTTTCTATCCAACTTTGATGCGTTATGTTATGACCTATGGCTAAGACAATAAGCTTATTTACTACTGTGAAACGAATGCCTTTGAGAGAAGAGCGTGGTCCTTCTGCATCCCTATTGCTGTATGATGACCCGCTGATCATTTTGCCCATGATACTGGTTTCTTGTTCTTCTGCTGGTGAATAAATATTGACAGCCAAATTAACAATTGGCAGGGGCTGAGTGGACTCAGTTTGGTGTGGTGATTAAGTGTGCGGACTCTAGTCTGGGAGAACCGGGTTTGATGCCCAACTCCTCCACATGCAGCCACTGGTGTGACTTTGGGTCAGTCACAAGCTCTCTCAGAGGTCTTCTCTCAAGGGCAGTTCTTGAAAGAGCTCTCTCTGCCCCACGTATCTCACAGGGTGTCTGTTGTGGGGAGGGGAAGGGAAAGGAGATTGTAAGCCACCCTGAGACCCCTTTGGGTAGTGAAGGGCAGGATATAAACCCAATCTCTCTCAGTCTCTTCAGTAACAAATTTTCCCTGCCTTTTGTGTTTAAATTACTGACAATCAAGAATCCCCCCCATCTCTTCTTGCACAGCAGTAACATTGGTCTCTTGAATTTCCCCCCAGAGAGATGTTTTTGCCCAGCTGTTGATCCATGCTGCTCTAAACTGTAAATCCAAAGCGAACCAGAAACTTGCCAGGTGAGTGAGTGAGTACCGCTTTCTGCAAACGACCTCTGGATTTTGCTCAGCTGAAAGGCAGCGGTGAATTCATGAGCTCAGGTGGCGCGTGGCAGGTATTCCTGGCCGTCTCAGACCCTTTGACACTGTGGCCCAGAAGGAGTGGCTGCTGTGACAGTAGGGCCTGGTGATGCCCAGACACGCGTTCCCTTATTGAGACGGCTGAAGGTTCTGCTGAGACCGGTTGGTTGTCAGAAGCTCTTCCACCATAATCTTTGCACAGACTTTGGATCTGAGTGCCCTTTGGAGCTAGATGCGACAAAGGCAGTTAGACCGGCCTGTCTCATTTGTCTGGTGTTTGAACATTCCCAAGTGTAATAGTCCTCAGTCACTGGCTACTGGCATTAAAGTTGTGAGCCAAGCAATTTGGCTGCTGCACACATTAGTTTGCTCTGGTGCCGTCCTTCCTGAGCTAAGACAAAGATCTGTGAGCTGGAGGCTATAAAACTGTGAGCTAGCTCACACTAACTCAGCTTAGAGGGAACACTGGTCACTGGCCAGTGGCTGCAAGGGGTTTTTAAATGGCTTTGTACAGTCCCGCCCTGTCCCCCTCCAAAGGAATATTATATTTGGAGGAAAAGGAGAAAGTTGTTGATCCTTGGAGAAGGAAGTTGCTGGAGGAACGCCATGGTTTCTAGGCAGGATGAATGATTGTAGACGAGAACGTCTTGTCGAATTGAACATGAAAGTCCCAGTTCCTGAGGTGTCAGGAGAGAAATGCTCAAGGTCAGACCAAGTTGTCAGCGTTTCGGACATTCTTCCAAAGCACTAGGGAAGGGAGCCTGATACGGTGGCCTGGTCTTACCCATCTGCCAGCGGGGGGGCTCCTGGCTTGGTCCCGGGGTTCTCTGGCATGCGCACTTTGCAATGGCATCACCCAGAAGTGACGTCAATGCACTGGGCATGTTGTATAGGGGACGCTCTAGCATTTGGCTAAAAACTCTATGGTCACCATACAGTTTTTAGCCAAATGCTAGAGCATCCCCTGCATGATGTGCCTGCTGCAATGACGTCACCTCTGGGATGTATCTGCTGTTCTCTAGAAATTGCACCTGACCGGCATTCTGCCCTATGAGTAGTTCATTGACAATGAGGCTGGAGGGCCAGTTGATTTGCATTCCATAGGCTGAAAACGATTGCTGTTCTAATATGTGACTTGCCTAAGTTTGGTTTGTATATTCCACTTAAAATCTGGGTAGGTGCCCTTGAGATTCGGCTGCAGTAGCTTGCTGGGGGGGCGGGGGGGGTGGTTTCCTGCTGATTCATCCTGTGTGATATTTAAAGGCCAGGCATTGTGCAGGCTGGGCCCATTATGTGGGTCCTTCGCACCCCGTGATTGCCTCAAACCTGTCAGGGCAACATCTGTATGCCAAGGACTTTGCAGAATTGGCCCAGCTCACATGTGCTTGGCTGAGTTTAAACATGACAGGGCTGCTGCTTCCGAGGACATTTGACTGCCGCAACCAAAACTGAGCTGCTTTAAGAGAGTGTTCCTGTCCCCCCCCCCTTCCCCTTTTCTTTCCTTTAGATGCCTCCTGATAGAACGTGAGGAACTGAGACCAAATGCTCCAATGACTGAGCGACTCATGCGGAAGGCCTCGGCCGCTCATGCCCTAGGATGAAACTCGGACCTGGCTTGCTCAACCAGTTTCCAATCAGCATTCTCATTCAGAATCTGTTTCCCGATATGGCAGTACGCCATAATCACTGCCTAAATGCAATAAAGAAATCTTACATTCATCTTAAGCGCTCTATGCCTTTGGGAACTGCAATCACAGAGATTCCCTTTTTGCTCCTTGGCTTTCTGGTAGACTTCTCATTCTTGCACTACTTTGACCTGTTTGTTCAAAAATATTCAAAATCAGTTGCTTTTTCACATCGGGAGTAGAAAAGGGGAAATGTGAGTGAACTGATTGGCTAAAGCAAGATGCCCAATGCAGAGTTCTGATATTCTAAATCACCAGTGGGGATTGTTTGTTATTAGGATTAACGGGATGAGTAAGGTGCAGAACGTGATTTGGATGTATGGAATGTATAGTCATGACTCACTGGAATGCACAAGCAGCATGAACAACGAATGTATTTTGAGCAGTTGGTGATTTATTTATTTTTTGCCTTGTGATTTCTAAAAGCTGTGTTGTTGTTTTTGCCGTCAAGTCACAGCTAACTTTTGGTGACTCTGTGGGGTTTTCGAGGCAAGAGACGTTCAGAGGTGGTTTGCCATTGCCTGCCTCTGTGTCGTGACCCTGGCATTCCTTGGTGGCCTCCCATCCATATACAAATCAGGGCCGACCCACCTTAGCTTCTGAGATCTGAGGAGACTGGGCTAACCTGGGCTACCCAGGTCAGGGCAACTATGTACCACTTTGGATATTCCACTTCATCTGTGCATTGTTCATTTACTTGCGGTCACTGTGTGTGAATAAATGCTTTCTTACCACAGGGTGTTTTTTTTAAGAAAACCTACAACTTAAATATCCATATACCTGTTTCTACCTCAGGGTACCTGAGGACGGGTCATTTCCTGCAGGAGCACACAGGAGCGGAGCTCCGGCAGTAAAGAGCCCAGGGGGCGGGCACATGCAACAAGTCCCACCCCCTGCTCCCAGCAGCCCTCAGTCAGAGCAAGAAGCAGCCAGGTAAGCTGCGGGGCCCCTTCCCCCGGCCCCCTGGTCCAAAACCTTTAAGACCAGGTTTTACTCAGGTACAAGCTCTCCCTCCTCTGTGAGGACAGATCTGCACATCCCCCCCCCCCATAGCTGGCAATCCAAAAGAGTCCAGTGGAGCCTGGGCAGTGGGTATTGCCTTCTGACACACTTCCAGTGATGTCAGGGGGTGTGGCATATGCAAATAAGTTATGCTAATGAGTTATGCTAATGAGCTCCTGCACCTCTTTTTCTACGAAATGACCCCTGCCTGAGGATCAATGTTCCCTCTAAGCTGTGGAGTCTTTTGAGCAAAACGTCTACTTTGTGAGCTACTGGCATTAAAGGTGTGAGCGAGCGATTTGGCTACTGCATAAATCAGTTTGCTCTGGAGCCACCTCTCCTGAGCTAAGGCAAAAATGTGCGAGTGAGCCGGAGGCTAAAAAACTGTGAGCTAGCTCACACTAACTCAGCTTAGAAGGAACACTGCTCAGGATGTGCGGAAGGGACTGGATCCATGCTGTTGTTTTTATTACGTGTGAACGACTAGAGATTCTTAAGCAGGGGGAAGATGGCTTCCCTCTGTTGTCTGCCTTTAAGGTGGTACGTGCCCTCCGTGAATTGGCAGGGGGAAGGGAAACAGCTGAATCCAGGACTGTTGAGAGAACCAGAGGAAGTGGGAACAGGAAGAAGAGGTGGACAGGAAGAAGAGGTGGACAGGAAGAAGAGGTGGAGACAGATCAATACAGCCCAAGGAGAAGAGGAATTCTTCCATAGGAAATTGTTACATCTGGCACACTAACCGGAGTGCCGGATGAATGTACGAAGTGACTACATGGTTGTGTTGGGGAGCACACCTGCTTATGTTAAGATTTTCTTAAACTTGGGGATGATTATATACATACATACTTCTGAATACATTATCTACAACATCTTTATAGTCTATGGCTATGTGTTCTTGTCCTAGCCTTGTCGATATTTCATGGCGTTTGGATACCAATTCCCAAATGGAAACAGCTGCTTCAGTTTCCTCCAGTTCTTTCTTCCACTGTGAGGCAGAATGAGGCTGCGGCTACTGTCATGAACATCAGAAAACGTTTTTTAAATAGCCAATAGTTGCAACCTGTGAATTGCTAGGGAAAGAACCACTTAAGAACATAAGAGATGCCAATGTTGGATCAGGCCAAAGGCCCATCCAGTCCAACACTGTGTCACACAGTGGCCTGAAATACCAGGTACCATCAGGAGGTCCCGCAGTGGGGCCAGGACACTAGAACCACCACTTCCTGCGGCAGTGAATTCCAAGTGTTAATCACTCTTTGGGTGAAGAAGTACTTCCTTTTATCCGTTCTAACCCGACCGCTCTGCAGTTTCATGGAGTGCCCACGAGTTCTTGTATTGTGAGAAAGGGAGAAAAGTACCTCTTTCTCTACCTGCTCTTTCCCATGCATAATCTTATAAACCTCAATCATGTCACCCCTCAGTCGTCGTTTCTCCAAGCTAAAGAGCCCTAAGCGCCTTAACCTTTCCTCATAGGAAAAGTGTTCCAGCCCCTTTATCATTCGAGTGGCCCTTTTCTGCACTTTTTCCAAAGCTATAATATCCTTTTTAAGGTGTGATGACCAGAACTGCACACAGTATTCCAAATGAGGTCACACCATTGATTTATATAGGGGCATTATGATATTGGCTGATCTGTTTTCAATACCCTTCCTAATAATCCCCAGCATAGCATTGGCCTTCTTTATTGCAGTCACACACTGTCTCGACATTTTCAGTGAGTTATCTACTACAACTCCAAGATCTCTCTCTTGATCAGTCTCTGCCAGTTCAGACCCCATCAATGTGTATTTATATTTAGGATTTTTGGCTCCAATGTGCATCACCTTGCACTCGGCCACATTGAACCCCATTTGCCATATTGACGCCCACTTGCCCATCCTTGACAGATCCCTTTGGAGTGCCTCACAATCCTCACTGGTTTTCACCACCTTGAACAACTTCATATCATCCGCAAATTTAGCCACTTCACTGCTTACTCCCAACTCCAAATCATTAATGAACAAGTTAAAAAGCAGTGGACCAAGTACTGATCCCTGCGGTACCCCACTGCTTACTTAACTTGAGTGTGAACACACTCAGAGTTAACCCCGTGTGTGTGCGTGTGTGCATGCGTGCTGGTGATGTTGTATTGCAACCAACACGGGCACTAAATACTGACAGCCAGTTTGGTGTAGTGGTTAGGAGTGCAGACTCTAATCTGGGAGAACCGGGTTTGATTCCCCACTCCTCCACTTGCAGCTGCTGGAGTGACCTTTGGTCAGTCACAAGTTCTCTCAGAGCTGTTCTTTCAAGAGCAGTTCTCAAAAGAGCTCTCTCAGCCCCACCTATCTCACAGGGTGTCTGTTGTGGGGAGGGGAAGGGAAAGGAGATTGTAAGCCGCTCTGAGACTTCTTTGGGTAGGGAAGGGCGGAGTATAAATCCAATCTGTTCTTCTCATACATTTCTGGTGAGCTGTACCTCAAAAGTGATTATAGAAAGATGAAGCAGCACACACACCCCATTTGTGGTAAGCCACCCATGCATTTTGGGAATACCTGCGGTGCAAGAGGCATGGAACTGCCCATCACTGCCAGTCAAACTGGAGCACACTATCCTCCATTAATCTAATCCCCTTTTAAAGCTGTTCGTTCCTGCGGCCGTCACTACATTCTCTGGCAGCGAATTGCGCGTTTTAATCACTCTCTGTGTCAGTTCTGGATTAACCAGTAAGCAAAATGAGCACTTAGGGCACCGAGGGAAGGAGGGGCATCACAGAGTCCCCTCCTGTCCCCAGCTATCATGCCCCTAACCCTTTTACTGCCACACCTTTCCCATGAGGAAAGGCTGATAGAGGATTATAAAATTATGCACAGGGTGGAGACATCACAACTTTTTCTCCCATAATACTAGAGTTGATGGGCAACAAAGGGAAATACTTCTTTCCTCTAAAGGCTGGAACTCACTGCCAGTGGACAGTCACCATGACAGCCACAAACACGAATGGCATTAAGAGAGGATCGGGCAGATTTATGAAAGACAGTTCCATCAACGGCTACTAGTGAAGATGACCAAAGGGAACCTCCATATTCAGAGGCAGTCAACCTGAAATCCAGTGCTAGGCAGCCAGAGTACACAGAGGGTTGGGTTATGGATGACAGCAGCCCCCACACCTTGCCTTGCAAAAATGGCAGCCATGCTTGGTATGGGTTGGAGGTGAATGCTATTAGTGTCTTGGTGCTTTGCCTGCTGGGTGACCTTGGGCCAGTCACAGTTCTCTCAGAACTCTCAGCCCTACCTACCTCACAAGGGCTGCAGTCGGACTACAGGCTTGGGCACAGTCTGGCGGACGCCTCTAAATTCTCTGGAACTGCTTGTTCTGGAGACTATTGATAAGAGACCCCACCCTAACCCACCGTGTGTGTGGGGGGGGGGCAGCCAGCTTCTGTTGGTTTAAATGTCTTCATGCGCATGTGCAGAACTGCTTATTCGCCAAGGGTGAAAAAGCAGGCAAGCACACATCGGAAAAGAGAAGAAATAACGGCACCCAGAAACTGGAAGCTTCACTTCCCAAACAGCTTGAGCGCGCAGCAGCGCAATCAGACATTGGGAAGGATGGGGTGAAACTGTGGACGCCCATAAAGACCAGACTTTCCCCGGTGCCTGGAAACTTGTGCTCCAAGACAGGTGAGTACTGGGTGCCGACGGCTGGGAGGCAGATATTGCTGTCTGAATCTGCAGTTTAAATCCACAGGGCTACAGCAATGAAGCTGTTCCTAAACCTTCTAATCTGACCACAGCCAATGTGCCTGTTGTGGGAAAGGAAACCAAAGGTGATGGTAGGCCACTCTGAGACTCCTTATAGAAAAGTGGGGTATAAAAACCAACTCTTCCTCTTCCAAAAGTAGAGCCAGACCTCAAGCCTTTCGCTACATAGAAGGGAGCTGGTTTCAGTAGCGTAAAACTGAGGAAAGGCTCCTGTATATTAGCATCAGGCTTCGGCCCTGCATAAATGAAGGCCTTGCCCCTGTGATCTGGCCCTGTGGGACTGGAGACAGTCATAAAATGGCTGCCATGGGATGCTTTACCAGCCTCTCGGTGGGGCCTGGGTCTCTGCCAGCACTACAGCTGCTCAGCAGACAGCAGTTCCCCTGGAGAAAATGGCTGCTTTGGAGGGCGGACTCCCTGGCCGCATGCCCTGAGGCCCCTCCCTTTCCCAAACTCCACCCTCCCCTGGCTTAAAAAAACAAAAGAACACAGCATGCTGACTTTAAAACAATTTATTATTTCCTTCAAAACCTTTACAGAAACATCACATCACCTTAACCTACAGCGATGAGCAACAGTGATGCCATTTTGATAGTCTTTGCAAAGTGCTGCAAGCAGTTAACATTAGACTGGGCATCTAAAAACTGAGACGAGAGGTATTCCTGGGGGGGATGCATTGAGCGCAGGAGAACAAGTGGTCTGTGTGTTCTTACAAACAAAAAAACTTATCTGCTGGCTTACTGACCCATAACTAGGCTATGAAACATGCACGGACAGAATGAGCCTGCGCATGAAAGCACACTGAAGACTAAACCTGCTCTGTGGCAGTCGTGTTGAAGGCCACAGAGCATCATCTGCTTGCTCAGCACAGAGGAAGATAAGGGAAGAAAGGGAGCCGGTGGGGCCCCCAAAATAAGGATGGAAGAAATGTGCGCTTGTTATGTGGCGTCGTAACGTGCATGCTTGAAAACTCTTTATTGCATACCATGAAAGAGAACACCACAGTGCTTTAGGCAGACCCTGTTTTCGCTGGGGTCTCCTTTATCCGAATAAAGTTTTGCTGTGCTCAGAAGGAATCTCTCCTGTTGTGTTTTTTATTGGAGGCACACCAGGTGAACAGCAGTTCCCCTACAGTACAAGAGAGAAGAACCTGTAAAGGGGTGTGTGGGTGTGTATGGCTAAGCACCCTCTGGCCTCCCCCCGAAGGGTGAAGGCGAACAGTAACAGGCCTGGTCCAGCCTGCAGTTGTCACTGATTGGTCTCTCCACTTTTATCAGTCCCAAGGCCAAGGAGGAAGTGTGGTACTGAGCTTCTCATGAGAGCCTGTGGCCCACAGGAGAGTCGTGGGTGGTGGTGAGGTGATCTAGAAGCTTCTCCTGAGAACGTGTCCTGATGGGATGTCATCTTCACCTGAGGTTGCTGGGCCCGAAATTATAACTGCACTGAGGCCCTGGAGGAGAGAGACTGACTTGGATTTTGATGGACCGAAGGCCTAGACTATGGCGTGCAATTGCCAGCAACGTAAAGAGCGCCTGAGCTTTGGCCTCGGACTCTTGGGTTTAAGGTTTATGCCATCTAATGCAAGTTTTGGCAAGTTTTCCTGCTGTATGGTCTTAGAGTAATGTGTTGCCTATAGAGTAATGCATTATTTTGACAAAAATCACACAAAGCTTTATAAACTTTTTAAAAAATTGAGCCGTTGTGAGGACCCACGGGGATCAGCCTTGGACTCCTTGATTGGGGGGTGGGGGTGGGTGGGTCCAGAATAAAAGTGAGAACACTGATCATGATACCCTCTAGAAAACAGGACCAGTCTTACTAAATGTGTCTGGAACATTTTTCTCTGGCTGGCAGGGTGACTATCCTGACCACTTACGCCACACTTGCTGTTGGATAAGAGTTTCAAAGCAGTAACGTCTTGTAGGTTTAGTACATTTGCCCAGGATGACTTGATCTGAGAATTCTAATTATCCTAAACCAAGAAACGTGTTCATGTGTTTGATCACGATTGTGTAATGGAGTGGCCAAACATATTTGAGCTAAGTTGTCTCATTATCAAAAGCTTTCATCTATTCACCATTAGACTAGGTCATTGTAGACTAGTTACAGAATACAGATTATCAGTAACAGCTAATCATCCTGTGTACAACAGAAAGCTATTCAGTGCCAGGGTCAACAGCTGTATCTTTTGACACAGCTATGCTAAATGTGTCCCTGGTACAACGAAAATTATTATCCGTCAAGTAGAACATAGAACATATGTATCTATTTCTCTGTCCTACATCATTTGATGGGTACAACACCCATCCATAAAAATCGTACAACATTAAAGGTTAAAAATTCGCAAACTCATTAACTTTTAAAAAACGTATGGAATCGCCAGTAGCAAACGGGTTCATTTTCCCCAGAATAATTCGACTTTTCTTTACTGTAGTACACATTAACATACCATTGTTAGAATTCAGAATATATGGTTTCCTAACTTCCTCAACATTTCTTAACTCATTTCAGGAGATAAAGATTGCTGCTTTAAACCTGACCTGTTACAAAAGCTCATAAAAACTAGGTCTAGGTGTCACAGCCTTTTCGTCATTTATGCTAAAACACATTTCTTTTCTTCAATGTAACTGATCACGTACGCGGGGTAAATCTGATGCTTCTCAAAGATGACGAAAATGGATGGGTCTATCATCTTGTCCACACAGCTGTCGTAGCAGTTGGTCATGTCGACCGATCTGGCTGGGGGGCGACTGTAGCTTTGACGCCCTACCACAAAATCACCAACCAGAACACGAGCCACAAACATACTCCTCTTCACCTTGGTGTCCACCTGACAGTAGCTGTGAGAGTAATGTGCATCTCTAGCAAAGTAGCTTCCTAGGAAGAAGTGGGAAAGACAAGTCAAAATGTTGAACTTCATAAATACAAGAAGAGTTCAATTGCAGCAAAGTACTTTTTATATAGTTGTGTGTAACTGAAAGATTTTGCCCCAGAATCTGTCAAAAATGTGATTACTATGTAAAGAAAAGAAAAGTCTGGGCATTCTCCTTGATTCTCCAAGAAGAGTCTTCCTGATCTCTAAATTAGAGACGTTCAAAATAAATATCCCTCTAATGCCCGAAACATACCTGCTTAATATGATTCCGGATAACATAAAAAACCACAAACACATAATAATTTATACTTTAACAGCAGCAAGAATTTGATAGCTAAACGTTGGAAGTCGAAAGCCATTCCATCCATAAAAGAACTTAAATACAAGATTCTGGATATAGCGGAAATGGACAAGCTGAGTTTAGAATTGAACAATAAACCAGAGGACATTTTTTGGAATAGATGGAAGCTAATATATAATTGGCTAAAACACAAGAAGATAGAATAATATTCAGATAATGCTAGTTTAAACTAACAGATTGGAAGTTACAAGTGGAAACTTATTTTAAGTCTATGTATGACTTATGTATACATTGATGTGAAGAAATGAAATGAAATGTGAAAATAAATTTATTAAAAAGAAAAGAAAAGAGTCTTTCTGATACTGAAAGACAGGCATGTTCCCTGGGAAACTGCTCCGCACCAGCCCCTCTGAAGTGAATCGCAGCAAGCTAAGTGGCACAGTCAGTGGAACTGCCCTGCATTTCAATCTGAGGGAAATCGCAGCAGGTGAGAAGAGAGGCAAACAGAAAGGAGCCCAGGTTCTAGCAAAACAAATGCAAGAGACGAGCAAAATGGAGAATCTGAGGAGCAGACTGCCAAAAACATTAACGGTAAGAACCCCCCCCCAAAAAAAATACATCACAAGTAATACACTTGTACAGAATGGTATGCCTGCATTTAAAATACTGTATATAATTCTGGTTGCTATATTTTAAAATGGATATCTGAGAGTGGGGAAAAGTACAGAAGAGGGCAACCAAAATGAATAAGGGGCCTGAGAACCTTTTCTATGTGAGAAGGCTGAAGCATCTTAGTCTATTCAGTTTAGGGGGAATGGGTATCTAAGGGGAGGCTATACAATTTGCAAGCAGATGGGAGAGCTTTTTCTCCCTCTTATGAAATACTAGAATGCAAGATCAATAAATTCAGAACAGGAAATGTTTCTTGCTCAACAAGTAGTTACAAGTGTGGGATTCACTGCCGATGATTGCCACGAGCATAGTGTCAGATCTTGAACAGAACTCGCTCCCAACAACACTGTCTTGGCAATGATCTGTTTATTGAGAGATAGAGGTTTCAAGCGTGGACGATCCGTGTCAGAACGGACTCCTATGGCACCAGTCCTCATGGCGGGGATTGTGGGTTTTTAGTTTTGTCTTACAGTCAGCTTATTTGGGCCACCTTCATGTCGTACAGACCTTTCCCATATAATGTTCCATTGGTCCCGCATATTCTCCAGTCAAAGTTGTCACTGCAGATGGCTTCCAGATTAGAAGAGCCGGTTCCATGAAACAGGATCCTCTCCTCTACGTCCTGCCCTCCTTTCTTCTTCTTCATTTGATCCTTTTGCCTAGTATGAATATGGGGAAGAAATTTTGCATGAATTCTCGACAGAAACAGTGGGACTATCACATGAATGCTTCATTCTGTCACCATTTTATCCTCACGGCAACTCTGTGGGGTAATCAGGCTGAGTTAAAAGTGACTGCCTCAAGGTCACTCAGCAAACTTTCATGGCAAGAGCAGGGATTCGAACCTGGGTCTCCCAGATCCTAGACTGACACTCTAACCACTATACCACTCTGGTTTTCAGCTGTCCCTCCCTCCTTCCATCCTTCTGGTAGCCTCTCCCCGAAACGTAAAGCCAAATTTCAAAAATCAGGCAAATAGCAAGTTGCTCAAGTGAATTGTATGGTGTCCACTGCTGGGCCTGGCCAAATTGCAGAGGGCATCTCATTTCCCTATATCCACTTCTCCCACTGTTTTCTCTTCACCTCCCCTCATAGCCTCCCATAGACTCTTCTTTCCACACATGAGCCAATCTACCTATATCTGCTCTCTTCATCAGCTTTTCCCCTTTCCCTTCCCTGGCAGCCTCTCCCTAGGAAAAGCTGGGCCCAGTTGCAGGGTGGCCACTTCAAGGGCCATTTTGGCCTCCCAGTCTATCCCTGCTCCATTCCTCCAATGGCGCTGGCTTTACAGAAACCGGAGCTCGAGAAGCTCAACAATATTGTTGTGGCTGCTTAGCAACTCCAAAATGGCAACTTAGAGGTCAGTGAAAATTTTTTTTTTCTTTTTCTTTTTTTTTTTCTAGAGTTCAGATTTTTCTGCCAATTTGGGACTCCCTTCAGGTTTGTAGAGAAATCCCCCCTATCCGTCTTTAACTCCGTTTTGTGGATCTATTGATTCACACTCTCTGGGCCAGTTCAGCATTAGACATATGCGAATGATATTCCAGAAGCCTCCTTTTTACTGTTCATGGAAGAGAAATAACAACAACGGTAATGCTTCTGTCACAGCTGCAAAAAAAGTGACTTGAACAGGAAACTCATATTCGCCTAACGATAACAAAAATCTATCCAGGAGGACAAGAAAGGCCATGTACACAATTCTAGTATTCCCCCACCAAAGAGCAAAACTGGGAGGGAGAAGGATGGTTTGTGAATACAAGCAAGCGGCCAGTTGCCCTCAACCACTGGCTGTCACGTGCAAATAAGTGCTCGTAAGAATGACTTACCTCAGTCTCCCAGTCTGCTCAAGAGATTGCAGTTGTTTTTCCAACAAACAAACGAAAACCACATTGCATGTTTCATATTCTGCAGCTACTGCAGAATGCTGTGGCTAGACTGCTGGTTGGGGCCAAATATCGGAAGCATGTGACCCTGATATTACAGCAATTACACTGGCTATACCGATCCACTCCTGAGCCTATACACCCAAATCTCCTCATAAAATTGGCTGGGATAACATGATAAAAATGGGATACAAACCACTGGAAGACTTGCCAAAGGGATTTGTTCTGAATCCGCCTGATGCTGTGGATAGCAAAATCATTCATTGTCTTCTGAAAGAGCCGCTCGACTGTCATGTATTCTGAAGAGGTTTTGCTGAGTTCGATAGCCTAAACATAAATTGTGCGAAAAATTAGTTCCTGTGGCTGAGCACAAATGGAGTAGAAGAGTAGGTTTTATGCCCCACTTTTCTCTGCCTTAAGGAGTCTCAGAGCGGCTTACAATCACCTTCCCTCCCCCTCCCCACAACAGGCACCTCGTGAGGTACGTGGGGCTGAGGGAGTTCTGAGTGACTGGCCCAAGGCAGGCTTCATGTGGAAGAGTGGGGAACCAGACCCCGTTCTGCAGATTAGAGACCGCCGCTCTTAACCACTACACCATGCTGGCTCTCACTGAGTACACTGTGCCTCCTTTTTTTTTAAATTACCAAAATAAAGACTTCGCATTCCCAAATAGGCTCATTTCAGATGTGCAGAGTCTCCATCTGAGAAGGGACACAGCTACGGTGTAGCTGCCAGAGTGGCCTGTTTAGAATCTGCTTCAAGTCCTGCCCTCTCCCCTTTCCCGCTCCAAAGGCATGCAATGTCTGGGCCTCTTCACCAGCACAGGGGAAAGAAAAGAGGGAAGGAGGAAGTGAGGTGTGCTGGAAGAAAGGAGAGGGGCATATAGGGACTGAGACAGAGGGGCGGGCAGACAAAAGCATTACATTTCAAAAAAATAATCACAAGTGGGTTCCATGCTTCGGTTGGTACTAAACATGGATCCAGAGTCTGGAACAGCTGCTAGTGTGGACTGCCACAACGTTTGCCCTTCCTAAATCTCAGCAGCTGAGACAGAATTAAGACTTCACAGAGAAGAAGAAGGAGGGGGAGGAGGGGGAGGCTGGATGTATACCCCGCCCTTCACTACCCCACGGTGTCTCAGAGCGGTTTACAATCTCCTTTCCCTTCCCCTCCCCACAACAGACACCCTGTGAGGTAGGTGGGCCTGAGAGCTCTTTCGAGAACTGCTCTTGAGAGAACAGCTCTGAGAGAACTTGTAACTGACCCAAGGTCACACCAGCAGCTGCACATGGAGAAGTGGGGAATCAAACCTGGTTCTCCCAGATCACAGTCCACCACTTTTAACCACTACACCAGGCTGGCTCTCCAGCACACTGCCTCAGCTGCATGACAGACACCCTATAAGATAGGTGGGGCTGAGAGAGCTCAGAGAGAACTGCTCTTGAGAGAACAGCTCGGAGAGTACTGTGGCTTGCCCAAGGTCACCCAGCAGCTGCATATGGAGGAGTGGGGAATCAAATCCGGTTCTTCCAGAATAGAGTCCGTGCTCCTAACCACGACACCAAACTGGCTGGTTCTATAGGCAACGTGAGGCACAAGTCATCTTCAGTGAGTGGGTAGGTACAAGGAACAAAAGGAGCAAACACTGCTAGTCTATAGGTTGGGTTTGTGAGATCACTGTGATCGGAGACGAGCAACTGGAGAGTAGAAGGTGGAGGAGAGAGGCTAGTTTGAGACAACAACAATTCAAAGAGAAATCCGCTCATTCTGAGTGGGTGGGCACCATCCCCAACTGTAGAGAGAAGAACACCAGACCCAATCAAAGACGCAGCAAGCAGAATTAATGCATCAGATCCAGCCTTCCTTTTTCCCTCCCAGAAAAGCTGGTTGAATCCAACCCATCATCTGCAAAAGGTCAACTTTTAAAAACATTAGTAGAGCATTTACCTTGTACCCAATCTCAGGTAGCGCTGATTTATCCCATTCTCTGGGATATATCGGGTCTGGAATAGGTGCAGAAGGAGGGTCCCTGTGGCTGTTTAATGCCCCAAAGAAAACCACAGGTGAGGAAACATTCTTGTTGTCATCTCTTCTGTCTGAACCCTGAGAACAACCCCCCTTTTGCCTCAGTTTAGCTAACACAGTGGCAAACACCGGAATTCCGAGGAAGCTTAGTTTACTAGCCAGCCATCCTTTACAGGTCTGATCAATCCCTCCCTTTGGGACTTTATTTCTCCCTTTTTGCTGGGCTTCTAAACAGACGGTAGCCCAGAGGCTACCTTTCTGTGCTTTCATCTTGGCAGCTTGAAGGGTATCCTCTTTTCTTGGTAGCTGCTCTCCCACCACCTTTCTACAGTGGCAGGAGCACCATGTGGGCCAAGATTCGCACCAATGCAGACCTTGATACAAAACTGATACCAAAATGACCCAACTTATCTCTAAGGTGATCAGTAAACTATGAACTTAGATACACCAAATGTCACAAGTAGCCACCCTTCTCAAAACACACTGTTTCGTACAAAGCTTGGCCTCCAAAAGACCCTTAGAAGATCAAAGTTGATGTTATACCCTTTCTTGTTCTTCACATCTTCATGGGAAACATATTTTGGGCGCCTCCGGACCTCTCTCTGGGTGAGGTAGTACAAGTTTCTCTGGATCATGTCTTGAAAAAAAGATCACATATTCGATCAATTTCTTTGGTTTATTCACAAGGATGGGCACAAACCATGGGGAGCAGAAAACAGGTTTAAATGGCCTGGAACAATTTAAACCCCTGCTTTCTGCTCTTCATGAACCACCACAAACTGCCTTAAAATTTGTGGAAGTTTGTGGTGGCTCTTCAGTTCATGAGCTTCATTCATGAACTATGAACCTGCCAAAATTCATCATGGACTAACGTTTGTGAGCCAGTTCATGCCCATCCCTATTTATTCACAAAAATTGACTGCTGAAGCTGATAAAATTGCCTCTGGGAATAACAGGTTAATCTCAATCCTCACAACTACCCCCTTTTCACTGTTCCCCTTTCCTTTCCTTTGACCACTGCAAGCCAATTAAAATAAAGGCTTACAACTTCATGGGAAGGGAACTGCAGGCCCTCAGAACATTGCCCTACACAGACTTGTAAGCCTGCCTTGATGCACAAATAGTAAATTAAAAGGGTATTCTTGGTCCATCCTGACATAACAGGAGGTGTATGAAGTCTGGGCCTACAGGAACTTTGAACATACCATAGCCTGTTGGAGTGAACAGGTACAGTACCTTTAAAGTTTATTTCGTATCCTTGGGAGCCTGCTTGGAATTGGATACTACCATCTGGCTCTGACAAGAATAAATTCTCCAGATCATCAGAACTTAATGCGGAGCCTTGGCGCTGTCCATCCTAGGAGAGGAAACATGAAACGGTTCATTTTGTCTGAGGTAATATTTCCTTTGGTCATTTGCACCTATTCCAGATCTGCTTCACTGCTGATACCAAATTCTAGTGAGAGGGGAAGAAATGTTCCCTTTTTCCACACTGACATATGGCACTACTTTAACACCAATACTGTGGGTTTTTTCTTGTAACTGAACAGTACAAAAATGTACTAACTGATTTTAAAAACAGTAAGACATCATTGGTACAATATTTGGTACATGTGGGCGGCCCATAAAAGGCCAACTTTGTCCTCCCCACAACCTGACTTTGCCAGCAACTCGTGGCGAAGACATTTCATTTACTGTCAAAACACTGCCCATCGCGCTGAGGGCTTCAGAGAAGAGTTCTCAACTCACAACCACCATTCTAGGTAAGCCAAGGCTCACGGCTGCTGAGGAACTAAAATATATACCACCACATGCTTTTGAAAAACTTTCCCACGTGCTGTACCCAATGTCAGGCTCTGCCTTTAAGCCCAGCTCTCAATGTGAAGTGTCAGCACACCAGAAAAGTGGGTTGTGTACCCACTCATGCGGCCCAACAAGGGAAGGCAACCTGGCATAAACAAGATGCCAGCTACACACCAACATTGAAGCTTTTCTTGCACTTCTGGGATCATAAATGCCCCTTAAAAAGGGGGAAAGGAAAGTTCAACCAAGCAAGAAATGCGTGGAGCATTCATCCCTCCAGGACAACTGGCAAGGTGCCAGGAGTGACAGAGGCATCTCTTTAGCAACAAGAGGCTGGCAAACCAAGAAAGTGGAAAGCAACATTTCTCAGATGATGAGATTTGACCTGCAAAAGTTGGCAACCCCTCACCGAACAGAACTCTACAGGCTGCAAAATAGGGGACTGCAAGAGCTTGAACTCTTACACTGAACACGGCCAATAACTTACTTTTGGACTTTATAAATAACAAAACTGTTTTACACACACACACACACAAAACTTTTTAATATAAAAAAGTCTGGTTAGCCACTGTAGAAAATGGAATGCTGAACGAGAGGGGCGCCAGAGTCATTGCTTGCCTAGGGTGACAAATATCCTTGGGCCATCCCTTGACAGCTCACCACAGGAAGACAATTTGGACCTGTGGTACTGAAAAGGTTGGGAACCACTGGTTTAAAACACTATGCACAGCATTTACTCTAAGAGACTATATGAACTACATAGCAGGATAAGTTGGGGAAAAGGTTCTGTATCTTTTGGGAGGTCAGTCGGGATCCCAGATATGTGGGATGATTTAAGAGGGGCCTCAGCTTCCCTCAGTGTGATTCCCCCTTAACTCCTCTTACATCCAAGCACAGGATTTTTTCCCTTCAGGGTAGACCTATTTGACACAATGTCCACAAAGTGCCAACAGAGTATAGGTATTCCCGTCAAGAAGGTACCAAAATAAAATCAATGCACTACAGCCTAGAATACAAATTACTTTCTCCTCATGGGAATAAGGGAGGGCACAGAAGAATCTGAGACATTTTCCATGACTGAGGCAAACTCCTAAAACACAATATCTGAAAAGGCTCAC